ACCCGCGGGACGCGACTTCCGGGACGCGGCCGAGACGCCGCGGAACGCGGCCGAGACCGGCGGCGGACGGAGCAAAGGACGCCGGGACCGCGCGTTGCCTAGGGGCCCCTCCGGGCCGGGGGCCCCGGTCGACGTGCAGGGCGAGCCGTACAGCTAGCTGTGGCAGAGGCGCAGCCCTCGTCGACGTCGCGCGGCCGGCGCCATGCAGCGGTCCGCCCCGCAGCGGTCGTCGCCGCGCTTCCGCGACCCGGAGGACCCGCGGCGCCGGCCGCCGAAGCGCGACCGCGACCTGACCTGCGCGGCGGTCATTTTGGTGCTGGGCCTCAACGCGTCCCTGGCGCTCGTGCTCGGCGCGCTGCGGCGCGAGTCCGTGCTCGACCTGAGCCGCCAGGCGAACCTCGCCTGGCGGGACCGCGCGCTCGCCGCCGAGGGCGCCGTCGACGCGCTCGCGGCGCGGCTCGCGCGCGACGCCGCGCCCGGCGCCGCGGCGGCCCCCGCGGCGCCCGCGGCCCGCGGCGCCGCGGCCGGCGCGGGGCGGCGGAGCGTCGACCTCTGGGAGCGCGCCGAGGCCGCCGCCGCGCCGCCGAAGCCGGCGAAGGAGCCGGCGCTGCCGCCCTTCTACGGGGCCGGCGCGCGGACCTTCGGCGCGGAGACGTGCGCGGCCTTCCGCGGGAGCCGGCCGCCCCACCTCTACCGCTGGTCGCCCGCGGGCATGTTCAACTGCGGCACGAACACGCTCCTGAACCTCATGCACCTGAACTGCAACTTCGACGCGACGGGCCGCCACACGCTCTGGCAGGCGCCCTGGGGCAAGCACCTGTGTGGAAATCAAATCTTCAACCCGACTTCAATGTGCGCGTATGCGAATGTTTTGACACGAGCACTTTCGCTGTGCTTCGAGAACTCGACGAGAGCAATCGATCCGTCCAAAAATCAGCCGAATCGACCTCGATTTGACCGAGCTAGAGAATTCTCAAGTTTGGCCCCGACGTCCCAGCTCACTGGTTGATTTGCACACAGGCAAGCACAACCCGCACTCCTGGCGCGGAAGGCACTGGGCGCCGCAGTTCGGCGAGGGCGCCTGGCGGCCCGACCCGGACTCCATCTTCCCCGTCGTCGTCACCAAGGACCCGGCGACGTGGATGAAGAGCATGTGCCGGAACCAGTACGAGTCGCGGTTCAAGCACGCGCGGAGCCGCCGCCCGCGCGGCGCTCGCGTCTTCCGCCCGACGTCGACGCGCGCGTCGTCGAACGGGTTCGACGCGGCGCGTTCTCATGTCCGCGGAGAACTCGACGAGAGCGATCGATTCGCCCCAAAATCAGCCGAATCGACGCGACCGAGCCGGAGATTTCCGGAGTTCGGCCCCGACGTCCCGGCTCACCGGTCGATTTCCACGCAGGCCACCACGACCCGGAGACGTGCCCGAGCCCCGTCGCGGACACGCGCGTGACCATGCGCTACCAGCCGGACAAGCCGTCCTACTACGACAACTTGCCGGACTTTTGGGTCCGGTGCAGGGCAGGACAAGAGAGCGAAATTCCCAACTTCAAAGGCTCATATCTCGGCCATTTTCCACTCGTTTCGGCTGATTTTTGGACGAGCGATCATCTCTCGGATTGGTCTCGAAGCGTGGATGCTTTTTCCGGAACGCGCGCGCGCGGAACACTCACGTTGAAGCGACGTTGAATCACCCTTGTCCTGCCCAGGTCCGGTGGCACGACGAGTACGTGAACACGACGCGCCCGCGCCTCGCCGCGCGGCAATCGACCGGTGGAACGCCCTGTCCAGCAAAAACCTCTCTCGCTCGGCCACATCGAAGTCGATTCGGGTGATTTTTGGACGGCTCGATCGCTCTCGTCGAGTTCTCGAAGCACGGCCGGAGAGCTCGCGTCGAAACTGTCGCGTACGCGCACGTTGAAGTCGGGTCGAAGATTTGATGTCCACGCAGGCGCCTCGTCGTCCGCTTCGAGGACCTCCTCTTCGACTCGGAGAAGACGATCTCGACGGTCTGCGCGTGCGTCGGGGGCAAGATGCGGCCGCGCTTCACCCAGGAGGAGATCGTGTCCAAGGACAAGACCCTCGGCCACTACGGCCCCGTCAACGACCGCGCGAAGGCGCTCCGGCTCTACTCGTCGGAGAAGCACCGCTTCGACCACTACGACCGCGACGACCTCGAGCTCCTCAAGGCCGTCGCGGGCCGGTCCCACCTCTTCAAAGCCATGGGCTACGACTTCGACGTCGACGCCGCGCTCGAAACGCAGCGGCGGCGGCGCCTCCTCTTCGGCAACGCGACGCGCGGGCGGCGGCGGAGGTGACGCGGCAGGGGGGGGGGGGCTCCTAATCGGCGCCAATGCTGAGACACGTCGTCGCGTCTTTACGCGCGAGACACCTGGGATATCAGATCCGCGCGACGGGCGCCGCCTGGACGGCGCCGGCCTCGACCGGGACGTCCCCGCCGCCGCCTTCCTTCGGGGTCCGCGGCGTGACCAGCCCCGACAGCGAGCGGCGGACGTCGAGGAGGCCGCGCCGCGAGTTCCGGGAGCAGGAGCGCAAGTCGTCGCCGCTAAAGTTCGCGAGGATGATCAGCCAGAGCGCGATGAGAAGCGTGGACGCGAGGAGCACGACGAGGAGGCTCGCGAACACCTTGCCCGAGAAGACGCCGTCGTGCTGCTCGAGATTGTCCGTCGCGAACACCATCAGCGCGTAGAAGAACACGAGGACGAGCTCCGTCTGCGCGACCTCCGAGACGACCCCGTCGTCCTCCTCGACGTAGGGCGCGTAGTGGCTGAAGACGCGGTATGACGAAGACGACGGGGAGCAGGGTCACGAAGAGGAGCTTGTCGAAGTAGTCGAAATCTCCGAAGCACTCCGCTTTGGCGAAGCTGATGAAGCTCAGATTCACGACGGCGAAGCTTTAGGGCCTCTTTGAAGATGGCGAGAACAAATTGTTTTGAGATCAGATGCTCGTCAATGTATTTCCCTTTGAATTTGACCCCTTACACTGGAGTGGCGGAATATTCTGGAAATAATTCGAAGATGGCGGCGTCTGACTGTTGGATGTAGCGGACTAGTGCTGAATCATAGAGCTGCTCATATGGGACGTGGGTGCTGCTGGGGTTGTTGTGCGGAGGGAGCACGTCCATGGAGGACAACACGTGGACGATGTTATGGTCCGTGTACAGCTTGGCGCAGGTACGGAAGCAAGCTGTTGCTTCGGCTGTTACGTTTTCCAAGTGTATCCAGCAGAAGCGCTTCCTGCGTTGGTACGCCAAGGCGCCTCGCAGGTCACTAACAACCTGCCGAGCTGTCTCATTCTGCTCTTCGCACAAGTTTAGATTGGAAAAGAAGCCACGCACTGTTGTACAGATGGGCGTGATTGTTGGCCAATTTTGTCCGCTCATAGCGAGTGCATACCGAGCCCACACATGCAAACTGAGCACGCCGAGCTCCGGAGTTGACATCATTCGGACAAAAGCCCCAAAGCGCTGACGGTCGCGAGCGCTCTCACCGCGAACTCGTTCTTTGCTCAGTGCATTTCTCCATTTGGCTGAATGTGGCACCCATCCATCCGGTCGCTCATCCGCTTGGTCACTGAGGTAAACCCACAAAGACGCGTACCACGCCCAGGGGCTACGTATCTGCGCGACGATGACATCTCCTCTCAGCAGGTCGGAAGCAACTAGCCCCCCAGACTCTTTGATGACACCCCCTGGGATCGGTGCGTCGACGAGCCCACGGGCCGCTTTTAACGCTTGCGACCATGCCGCGCTCATCGAATGAGCCTGCGCACTTCTGAAGTCTAGCGAGAACACAATGCGGTAAGTCGTGGCTCCCGCGCTGGCCATACGTCGCGTTAGTTTCTTTGCGGTCAAATTTCTTTGCGGTCAATCTTTCATGCAGGGTACATCTTCGTGCACCTTGAAGTGAATGGCTGCTCTTCGCCACGCACGCGCGCTTCTCGTACTTGCACTGCTTGTTCTTCGTGCACTTCTTCTTGCCCGTGAACTTGCTGCAGTCCGTGGCGGCGGCGACGATGGTCGCCGCAGCTAGAGCGAGGATGAGCGGGCGGTTCAACTGCATGGTCGGTTGCCTGCGCGGGTGTCGACAAATCGTCCCGCGGCGGCGAACGGCGGCGAACGACGAACGACGCGCGGTGGACGTCGGGATCCGGGTGTCCGGGGGAGGGAGCGGGCGGCGCAGCTCGAGGCCGCGCGCCGGCCGGAAGGCTGCCGCGGGCCAAGACGTCGGCGGCCGGGCTTGGATGCGCTTGGCGTGCGCCGAGGACCCGAAGACGAAGCGGAGCGGGTCCCGGCGCGCCGGCCGCCGGCCGCGCCGCGCGAGAGCGAGTCGCTCTTCGCCGTCGTCGAGGTGCCCGCCGCGGACCACGCCGCCGGCGGGCCGCGAGGTGGGAGACCGGGCTTGCATGCGCTTGGCGTGCACCGAGGACTCGAAGACGTAGCGGAGCGGGTCCCGGCGCGCCGGCCGCCGGCCGCGCCGCGCGAGAGCGAGTCGCTCTTCGCCGTCGTCGAGGTGCCCGCCGCGGACCACGCCGCCGGCGGGCCGCGAGGTGGGAGGCCGGGCTTGCATGCGCTTGGCGTGCACCGAGGACTCGAAGACGTAGCGGAGCGGGTCCCGGCGCGCCGGCCGCCGGCCGCGCCGCGCGAGAGCGAGTCGCTCTTCGCCGTCGTCGAGGTGCCCGCCGCGGACCACGCCGCCGGCGGGCCGCGAGGTGGGAGACCGGGCTTGCATGCGCTTGGCGTGCACCGAGGACTCGAAGACGTAGCGGAGCGGGTCCCGGCGCGCCGGCCGCCGGCCGCGCCGCGCGAGAGCGAGTCGCTCTTCGCCGTCGTCGAGGTGCCCGCCGCGGACCACGCCGCCGGCGGGCCGCGAGGTGGGAGGCCGGGCTTGCATGCGCTTGGCGTGCACCGAGGACTCGAAGACGTAGCGGAGCGGGTCCCGGCGCGCCGGCCGCCGGCCGCGCCGCGCGAGAGCGAGTCGCTCTTCGCCGTCGTCGAGGTGCCCGCCGCGGACCACGCCGCCGGCGGGCCACGAGGTGGGAGGCCGGGCTCGTGCACCGAGGACTCGAAGACGTAGCGGAGCGGGTCCCGGTCGCGCCTCGGCGCTTGGATACCCGAGGTCAACGACTCGACGTCATCAACGTCGCGCTCAGGGACCACGCCGCCGCCGGGCCACGAGGTGGGAGGCCGTGTGTTGGTAGGGGGCGGGGGGAGGGTGGCGGGGGCGGGGGTCGAACAGGGCGGGCGTGAAAGATCGAGACGAACTCGATCCAGTTTTCGTTTTCACGTCCGCACGTGCTTTCGAACGATTTTTAAACCAAGTTCATGGCTCGCGCGGCGAGGGGGAAGGGGCGTGCGCGGGAGCCAATCCGGGGATATTTGGACGCGGGAGGAGACGATGCGCGAGAGACTGTCAGCTTTTGGCATGTCGGCAAGGGGAGGCAAACTAAAAATCGCCAAACGGCGCTTAAAACCGGCTACCACGGTTGATCATGGATCGGATGGTGTGGTTCGGGATGAGGTTGACGTGTGGAAGCGGCTCGTTCGTGGTCGGAGATGTTTGCGCGCGCTCAAACCACGCCTCGATCGCGCGGCGCTCGTACGTGTGGCCGTCCGCCGCGATGACCGGGTCCTGCATAACCTCCATGCTGATAGGGCACAAAAACTCCTCGGGTGCGTCGTCCTCATCGCGCGGTAGCGGCGCTGGCCGCGGCGCCTCGGACCGCGGCGCCTCGCTCGGCCGCGCGTCCATGAGCTCCTGGCCCTTGCGCAGGAGCGTGCCCTTCTCGAGGCCCTTCTCGATGTAGCCGCTCAGGTCCGTGAGCTTCGACAGGTCCGCCGCCTCGAGGGCCAGCGCGCAGAGGGCCTGGCGCTCGGGGTCGAGATCTCGGAGCGCCCGGTAGCAGTGGTTCGATAAGCGGCGGCCGTCGAGGGCCGCGACGAGCGCCGCGTCGACCGACGGACGCCAGAGCTTCTCCTGCAGGAGATTGCCCGTCTTCCCTTTCGAGAGATCGGCGCGGATCCAGCCGTTGCGGGAGAGCATGCCGAACAGCAGCCCCCCCGGGTCGGCGAGGCGCTCCGCGACGCGGCGCTGGTCGACGCGGCTGAGAGCCTTGAGCGCCCTGGCGACGTCGGACGTGAGCGCGAGCGCGTCGGCGACGCGCCGGAGCTCGGGCGCGAGGGCCTCGAGCTCGCTCGCGGACGCCGCGAGCAGGTACTCGGCCTTGATGGCGCTCATGACGAAGGCGCTCCGTTTGTCGACCGGAACCTTGCCGACGTCGCCGGGCGCCGCACGCAGGAAGCGCACGCAGCCGTCGGCGTCCCGCGCCGCGTAGCGCTTGAGCGCCGCGCGGCAGCCGTCGTCGTCGAGGCCCTCGGCGTCGGCGAAGGCCTCGACGCGCCGCTGGAGCTCGGCCTTGGACACGGGCGCGTCGAAGGCGGACGTCGTCCGGCGCGGAGCGGCGCGGGGCCGCGGCGGGATC